AATTTTTCTGCTGTTTTTCCAGTGTTCCCTGTATTTGCTTTGAAAAATACATTCAGTTATCCCACTAATGTTATTTCATTTTCCTCTGTCTATAGTGGCTTCCTATTTATTTTCTGATTCTAATAATTTTAAGATATTCTTATGATGTCTGTTAAGAAATTGCATAATTGTTTTAACTCAAATTTTGTAATAATGTCAAGCAATGCATATGAACAAAGCTGTCAAATTTTAACAATTATTCACTGTGAACCATCTTGAAAATCATTTCTTTTGGAGATGATGTAAGACTACTTAATTGCTGTAGCTGATATGTTTGGCCTCAGTTCTGTCACAGAAATTTATATAAAATTTTATGTAATATATATATCATGTCTTCTTTTGCTATTCTGTCTGGTGTTTTTATATTTTTGATAATGGATTTTTAAATTTTTTAATTTAGGCCTGGGTATGTGGCTCAAGTGGTAGAGTGTCTAGCAATCACAAGGCCCTGAGTTCAAACTCCAGTACTGACCCAAAAAATGCACATTTAGAACAGCGTGTTCAGAAGTTAACTACATAGTAATATCTTTACGTGATGACCTTAGACTTGTTTTTCTTTGGGTCAGGAACACCCACTGACTCCTACTTACTATGCGTTTGAAAATCAGTGAGTTTATTCTATTTTATCTTTCATTTCTCTTCCCATTATTTAAAGTTGTGTTATGTATGCATTGTCAGACCATATAGATTTACATCCTATTCTTCCAGGCATATTCCACTTTGCTTAGACCTAGAACTAAAATTACATTTAATTAATGCTTATTGTTGTCTTTCTGCTAGAATTGTCAAAATCAAAATCATCTCTTAGTTAGAAGAACTTATACATACAATACTTTCTAAGTTGTTGCATGTTTCAAAATGTTTTCAATAGTCTCTTTTCTTTCTTATTTATTTATTTATTTATTTTTGTGGACCGGGAATTGAACTCAGGACCCCATGCCAAGCTCTCAACAGCTTTAGCCATGCCCCAAGTCCTTTCACTTTTAGCTTATTTTTCAGATAGGGCCTCCAATTTTTGCCTGAGCAGCTCTGGGCCCAATCCTCCTACCTCTGCCTCCTTAGTAGGTAGAACCACAGGCATCCACCACTAAATCCAGCTCTATAGCCTCAATTCTTAAAGGATAGTTAACTGTGTATAAAGTCTTTGGTTCTTAATTTTTCCCCTTGATTTTCTTTAAAGGGTTGCTCCACTGTTACCTTGAATAATATGTTAGTGCTAAGATGTCTGATGCCAACCTGATTTCTTTCTTCTGAAATGACCTTCTATTGTTTTGAATAGAGAATCAGAAGATTTTTTTCCTTTTTTAGAGAAACAAATCTAATAGTTTTACTAAGTTATATTTTCAGATTAACTGTTTGCAGGTCAATTTTCCCTGGCTCCCAGTGGACCTCTTCCATATCAGTTCTTTGTTTATGTTTTCCTGTCCTCTACATTATAACTGCCTTTCTACATTGATTGAGTTAAGTAATATTAATTTTCAGACAGTCCCATAGGATTTGAATAATTTGGCCTAACAGCTAAAAAGTAAACCAATCCACATCCTTTTGTCATGCAGAAATGGCAAATAGCTTTTTGTAAATCAATTCAACTATATATTTTATGTTCCACTATAAAAAGAAACTAATGTAATACAACAAAGCAGGTGTTTATTTAATAATAAAATCTCCCTTTGTTCCTTTACACCTTGTCAATGTACTCCTTCTGAGGTCTAATAACACCTCTGTGGAATTAGAAGTTGCAGCTTAGGTGGGCTCTGTCTCCTTTACTCATACCCTGTAAACCCTGCAGACCTAACATGTACTGCCTTGATTCCAGAATGCAACTTCTCTAAAATTTTCAACAAGAAGCATATGTTTACCTCATTGGTCAGTACAGGTAAACTAGAAGGCCAGGAGGTTCAAACCTGCTGAAATCATTATGCTTCTAACTGCTGGCAAGAGTCACAAATCAATTTCTTTATCCATGCATGCCTTGTTCATTCGTTTATCTAATTTGTGTTCATTCATTTATCTAAGTGTCTTGAAGTCAGTTTGAAGTCAGCCCAAGGCAAATAGTTGGTGAGATCTTATTTCAAAAAAAATCCCAATACAAAACAGGACTGTCAGAGTGGCTCAAGTACTAGAGCATCTTCCTAGCAAGTGTGAGTTCACTTTTAAGGTACTTTTTAAGGTACTGAGTTCAGTACCTTAAAAAAAATGAAGAAGAAATTGTTCTTGCCTCAAGGAGTTTATAGTTTCACGTGACAATCTAAATTAGCTGGGTAAGAATCACATAGGAAGCTTTTTAAAAATAGCACTGTCTAAACCTTATCCCGAAACAGTCTAATTCTATAAATATAAATTGTAATCAGCCAGCTGATCTATAGATTGCTTTTTAGGGACCTCTGGTCTAATAGGTTGTAATAATTCAAGCTGATTATAATTAAGTAACTTGAATCAGTTTAAGTCTACTGTTACTAAAATTAAACCATAACAGAACTCTGAAATATTAACACATGAAAGGAAAACAGTATGCCTTTAATTCACATAAGCCACAGATAGCAATAATATCCCTCACAAAACTATCTCCATTCATCAGTGTGATAAGAAAAATTACTGTGTGTCTTACACGTCAGGAGTATGATATTGAGGTCTACTTGTAAGAATTCTTGAAAACTCATACCCTAATCATTTGTCTGAAACAAACTAAACTTCTGCCACTATTTTCATTTAGTGAGAAGCTGATATTTCCAGGTAATTTTAGTTCATGATGGACCAGCAGGTGGCAGTCTAGGATTAAGGACTGTGTTTCCCTTGGGGACAGACTGAATTTAGCCTGAGTTTTTACCACAAGTAGCTGGTTTACTGGTCAGTTATCTACCTTGTTATAACACTAAGCCTTTTGGATATGCTTTATAATTAGTGCTCTAATTCTCTGGAATTTTTTTGAATTATTTTCCCACATTTCTTTTTAATTAATAGTGATTGCTAACATTTATTGAGCACTTGGTTGGTGCCATGCATTACAGTTTATTATGTACATTATCTCTAAACTCATGCATCTCTTTGATAAAACAAGATAGGAAAGTTTAAATTATATGTTCTGGTCACCAACCCAAATAACTGATATTGCTGGTATTCTGTCCCAGTTTGTGGTAACTACAAAATATATGATTTCGGTCTGTTTTGTCACTAAAAGCCTCCATCTGTTCTGTTCTAGGAAGAATTTAGATCTTCATAAGTAGCAGCGTATCTTTGATTGGAGCCACTCTTATTATTTCTAATGTAAGACAGGATTTTTTTTTTTCCTGGAGGTACAGGACTTAAACTCAGGGCTTTGCACTTGCTAGGCAGATGCTCTACACTTGAGCCACACCCCAGCCCTTTTTGCTTTAATTATTTTTCAGATAGGGTCTCATGCTTTTGCGCAGGGATGGCCTTAGACTCCCACCTCTGCCTCCCACGTTGCTGGGATTATAGCCATGAACCATCATGCCTGGCCCCCAAATTTGGTTATTTGAGATGACATTGAATTTCATTGTCTTCTAGTTTTGTACAATTTCCGTACATGTCCACTTCTTTTATAAGCTAAGTAAGAACTATTTATCAGGAGATTTCCATTTCCGTTCTGACATATAAAGAGTGTGGACAATGGTAGTCAAAGAATAAGCTATACAAATTGAAAACCAGGGATTATACTTGGATCCATAAAAAATCTTATGTTTTCAGGGCAAACTGCCACCTGAAATCTGGAAAGAAATGCAAAACTAGAGACTCACAACTGAAATCTGCCTACCAGGAACAGAAACTGTTGGAACCATAAACTGGTAGAAATACTTCCGTGGTCA